GGTGACTAACATAACATAATAAAATAAATAAATAATAAAAATTAAAATTAAAAATAATATACCACATTTAAAACATATACATATGGTATATTAAATTTTAACATTAATTTTAATATATCATACTAATGTACCTGTATACTTTAAAGAATATTACAATTAATACATATGTACTCAATACTTCACATAAAAATAGTTCATTGCTCAAAAATAGTTGAGAGGAGGCACTAAAAAATTAAGAGATTTCTTCTGAGTAGGATTCTAGGTGAAAAAGGTAAACTCTCAACTTTCTCTGCCTTGTTTGTCCACACGTTATTTGTTTTTTAAAAAACTTATTTTTGGGGCGCCTGGGTAGCTCAGTCAGTTAAGCATTCAACTCATGATTTCGGCTCAAGTCATGATACCAGGTCCTGGGATCGAGCCCCAAGTCAGGGAGTCTGCTTGAGGATTTCTCTCCCTCTCTCTCTGCAACACCTCCAGGCAAAAAATTAAATAAATCTTTAAAAAAATAAAGGCTGAAGTAGGGATGCCTGGGTGGCTCAGTCGGTTAAGCCTCCAACTCCTGATTTTGCCTCAGGTCACAATCTCAGGTTCGTGAGATCCAGTCCATGTCAGGTTCCCTGCTGGGTATGGAGGCTGCTTAGGATTCTCTCTCTCCCTCCTTCACCGTCTGCCCCTGCCCCCCAAGCACGCATATACTCTCTCTCTCAAAAAACTAAAATAAAATATAAATAAATAAATAAAAAGACTGAGTAAAGCAAAGTGGCTAAAAAATAGTGTAATTGAATTAAGCATATCATGAGGCAATTAAGTAAAAAAACAAAACAAAACAGAAAACTGCAAAAATCTATAGGCAGTCTCCATTCTGGTTCTTTCACAAGGTTAGTTAAGTTCTCACTCCCCTTTTTAAAAAAAATGTGGGGTGCCTGGGTGGCTCACTCATTAGGCGTCTGCCTTTGGCTCAGGTCATGATCCCAGAGTCCTGGGATGGAGCCCGCATCGGGCTCCCTGCTCCACAGGAAGCCTGCTTCTCCCTCTCCCACTCCCCCTGCTTGTGTTCCCTCTCTCACTGTGTCTCTGTCAAATAAATAAAATCTTTAAAATAAAATTAAAAAAATAAAAAAATGTTATCGGGGTGCCTGGGTGGCTCAGTTGGTTAAGCGACTGCCTTTGGCTCGAGTCATGATCCTGGAGTCCCAGGATCGAGTCCCACATCGGGCTCCCTGCTCGGCGGGGAGTCTGCTTCTCCCTCTGACCCTCCCCTTCTCGCACTCCCTCTCAAATAAAAAAAAAATCTTTAAAAAAGTAAATAAATAAAAATAAAAAAATTTAAAAAAATGTATCTGCAAAACCTAGTGAATGCATTATGGGTGTGGTTTATGCAAGAAAAACAATGCAGACATCTGATTAGTGGACCCATAATCAAAGGAAATACCTAGACCCTTCATCAAAAGACTAGTGACTATATAGTCATGTTTTAAGCTAAAATACAATGTTTAATGGATATATATATATACATATATATACCCCTTTTATGATTATCAGACTTGAATGACTTTTTCAATTATCCAATCTACTACCCTACTAACTCATATCAGGTGAAGAACTTCTCTACATACAATTTTACAGCAACTGGTAAAAAAAAATATGCTATTAAAAAAGCTGTATCTATAGGGGCGCCTGGGTGGCTCAGCTGGTTAAGCGACTGCCTTCGGCTCAGGTCATAATCTCCCACTCCCCCTGCTTGTGTTCCCTCTGTGTCAAATAAATAAATAAAATCTTTAAAAAAAAAAACTGTCAGTTCAGTCATCCAATGGGTTACACTTTGTCTTACAATTTCACCTGCATTCTTTTTATCTTTTTAAAGATTTTATTTATTTGAGAGAGAGAATGAGAGAGAGAGAGAGAGCACATAAGAGGGGGGAGGGTCAGAGGGAGAAGCAGGCTCCTCGCTGAGCAGGGAGCCTGATGTGGGACTCGATCCCGGGACTCCAGGATCATGACCCGAGCCGAAGGCAGTGGCTTAACCAACTGAGCCACCCAGGCGCCCTCACATGCATTCTTCTTCCCTAAGTTACACTTCTTTTCTATTCAGTAGGCAAGACATGCAGTGGGCAACACTAACTGTGAGTGGTGATGACATGTTTTTGGAAGGCCAGAAAGATTTTCACCCACCTAAGGCCTTTGAATCATAAATAAAAACTATTTCAAGAAAACCAACCTCAACTGTTTAAACTACACTATTAATAGAGAGCATAACCTACACCCAATAAAAGGCCACTCCAGGGGCACCTGGGTGGCTCAGTCGTTAAGCGGCTGCCTTCGGCTCAGGTCATGATCCCAGGGTCCTGGGATCGAGCCCCACATCAGGCTCCCTGCTCAGCCAGGAGCCTGCTTCTCCCTCTCCCACTCCCCCTACTTGTGTTTCCTCTCTTGCTTTGTCTCTTAGTCAAATAAATAAATCTTTAAAAAAAAAAAAAAAAGGCCACTCCATTTTACCGTCAGCCACGCTCAACAATATCCAGGAATTTTTTTGGAAAAATCTTTTTCCTGACCATGCTATAAACATGGCGTTAGGTCCTGAGTTCCACTTGATTCTACACACAAATCTTCTCAATCACCTTCAAACCTCTTAAAATTTGTACTGTTGATTGTATTATTGATAGAATAACTCATATTCTAGGAAATTTAAGAAGGAATTCTGATGGAAAAATGTCACCTATCATATTTCTGGTTTTAATCCTCCTTCCCCCACGTCTACAACATCCCCACTGCATTATAGGTACCTAACCTACTGAACAAAATAAAAAACTGAGACAATATAATAACAAACAAGAAAAAATAAACATTATTCCTTATAGTACATTGACAATTAATAAATATAGACGGAAGGGCACTTGGGTCACACAGTTGGTTAAGCATCCGACTCTTGTTTCAGCTCAGTTCATGATTTCAGGGTCATTAGATCAAGCCCCGTGACAGACTCCACACTTGGCATGGAGTCTGCTTGAGATTCTCTCTCCCTCTCCCTCTGCCCCTCCTGGTTGTGCACTCTCTCTCTCGAATAAGTAAATGAACTTTAAAAAAATAAATAAAAATAAAATATAGATGGAGCTCGAAAATCACCATTTTGTGACCATCATGGTAATAACTATTCAGACTAGAATCATCAATGGATGTTAAATCTACTGGGCAAAACTTCAAAGAACAGTATATTTACAGTTTCAAAGTTAACTCCCCACAAATGACTTACTAATTACAAAGGGAAGAAGGATAACTTTCCATTTAAGAAACTTGGCAGACATAATCTTAACCAAAATGATCAAATTAACATTACCAAAGATGGGCAAATTGACATCAAGTGCCTCCTGTCATGATAAAAATACACATTATTTGCCTCCTGATACAATGCACTGAGAGAATCGCAACATCACTTCTGCGTTTTATAACGAAAAATGTATAAACTGAATCTAATCATGAGGAAACATCAGACAAACCCAAATCGGGGGACATTCTACAAATGCTTTGCCTGCACTCTTCAAAAATGTCCATGTCAGGAAAGACATGAAGAAGTAAAAAGTAAAAGCAAGGCATGTTACTAGACAAGATCCCGGATCAGGAATAAAAAAAAAAACTGTAACGGTAGACATTTTTGGGACAATGGTGAAATCTGAATACAATATTATAACAATGTTACGCTTCTTAAATTTGATCATACTATGGTTTATGTAAGAAAACATCCTTGCTCTTATGAAATAAAAGCTGACGCATTTAGGAGTCAAGGGACATGGCGTCTGCAATGATTCTCATGGTTCAGTTTTATGTCACACATTCACAGAGAGAGAGAGAGAATGAAGACAAATGCGGCCAAATGTTAATAACTGGTGAATTGTGGGAGAGCACACAAAAGTTCTTTGAACATTTCTTGCAACTCTTCCATAAGCTGGAAACTACTTCAAAATAAAAGTCAAAAAACTTAAAACCTACAATGATTATGCATCTCAGAGTAACAAAGTCCTTACAATGGTCTACAGTTGTAAAATCTAAGCTCCTGTTAAGTCTAACATCTGCTTCTATATTCCTGCTTTCTCACTCCGTACCATCCACCCAGTTTTCTCATCTGTTCTTGAACAAGCACATTTTGTCTCAAAACCCTTTTATGTGCTATGCCCTTTACATAGAATACTTTCCCTACAGATATTAACAAGGGTCGCTTAGAAAGGGCTTAAACTAATCATTATTAAAAATTGGAGGGGCGCCTGGGTGGCTCAGTTGTCTGTCTTTGGCTCAAAAATCTTTAAAAAAAATTGGAACTTCCCTTCCCCAAATACCATCCTCTTCCCTGTTTTATTTTTCTCCACAGACCTTAGTACCACCTCACACACTATAAACTTTATTTATTTCATCATCCCCTCCTTCCCCACTAAAATATCAGTTCCATTATAGGAAGGATTTTTACCTGTTTTGTCCACCACCGTATCTCTAATCCCTGAAACAATGCCTGGCACATGGCAGGGTCTCAATAAATAGGTACTGAATAAATAAATTTCACGTTATTTTTCTGGTTCATTTAACAAACATCTGTTTCCTTCTGATCTACTTTACTATTTTGTCCAAACCTGCTGCTCACATTCAGTTCACCTCTAATTTATAAAAAACAATTCAGTTATAACAAACAACAGAAAGAAGCAATACATCCTCATTTTCTCAAAGGATCATCATTTGTGAATCCTCAGTTATTACTGTCAGGCTGCAGAAGTGGGGGGCAAAAGTAACTGCGGAATGATGGAAAGTCAGCTTTCCAGAACCATCATTTCCTACCCCTCTTTTCAGCATCAATTAGAAGGGATGTCAGGAAGGAACCCCTCCCAAGCTGAAGTGCCAGCAAAAGGCCATGATGATAGCCAATTAGAAACTGTGGCCCTCTTGTGCTCCATCAGTTTGCCATCTACCACCTACCTGCAAAAGATCTGAGTTTTGCTCAAATTTTAACAGCCCCTGACCTTTACAGTCAGTTCCACTGCATTCAATATGGAAAGAAGGGAGGCCCTATGCAGGGAGAAAGCTCTAGTAAGCACTGACTTACGCTGTGAGTAGAGCAGGATTTGAAACTCCAGAAGGGCACAAGTAAAAAGTTGAAACACATTTTCCACCCCAAGCAGTTCAAAGACCTCTTTGACAGGGAAGTCAAATAAGGGAAGCTCATTGGTACTTGGTCTCTGGCAGATTATTGGCCCATAGACCCCAGAAAACTTCAAGGACCGGCCAGGAGGCGGGAGTGGCACCTCATAGAGTACATTGTATATGTAGCTCTCAAGGGGCAGTGGAGGGGGCTGAGGTGAAGTGACTGCCTGGTGAAGTTGTTCCAGCACACTCCGACATGCTTTCATGAAGGACATGGGTGTGATGAGGCAGATGCACTTAGAGACGTAGAGCGTGTCCCGGCTAATGTCATAGGAATTGAAGCGCTGAAGCTTGGTCCCAGGAGTGCCTTCACCATCCTCCATGCCACTGTGGTCTCGGCCATCAACAGAGGGAGAATGTAGGACATCATACTCAGCATTATGCATGTGGTAGAGGGTCTGCATTGCACTGCAGATCTGCTTGCTAGTCACCTCCTCATAAAATGTGAGGGCAAACCCAAATGTCCGAGAGCCATCCTCCCTTGTGATAATAAAGGCATGGAACTGGGGCTCCCTGGGATCAGCCTGGGTCTTGAATGCTAGCCCTTTGGGCATGCATAGCTGCAAAAGACAACAAGGAAACAAGTGGTGAGAACACTCACTGCCGGTCCTCTTTTCAGAATACCATCACTATTTATTTACTCAGAGTACCTACTATGCTATGTGTTTGGGATATCAAGATCAACACAGCAAAACATCTGTCCTAAAAATCTCCCATTCTAAGACATATGAGTAAATAAAATTATAATGCAGTTATCAGGACTACCCAAAAACAAAGTGTTAGGGCAACACAGAATAGACAACCCAGCCCAGGAACATCAGAAAAGGTTTCATAGATTAGGTTATATTAGAATTCATCAGGTAGACAAGGGAAAGAGGGTATTTCAAGGAGAAGAAGAAAATGCACAAAAATGAGGAGGTAAGAGAAAGCTTGGAGAATTTAGGTAGGTGGTTAAGCATGACAGTATTTACTGGGAAATGATGCTAGAAATATACCTATAAACTAGACAGATATAACCTTGTACCTAAAAATAAACAGTTTTAGACTCTATCAGGTCACAAAACTCTGTCTTCAAGAGAACCTTCTCTTTTCATAGGAAAAAAGGGAGCATTTCACATAAAGCAAGGAGATGACATAATCAGGATAAAGATGCACTTTTTTTACTTTAACTCAGATGGGTTATATAAAGAAACTTGGATAGCTAATCAAACTGACCTAAATCAATCAGTCCCCATTTTCCAGTTCTATATAAACCTAGCTATACAAATGATAGATTAGCAGCCTGGGGTTAACAAATATAAGGACCTACATTATGTTATATCCATTATCTTTGGACTTGACTTCCCAAAACCTAGGTGTTTCTAGAATACAGCACGTAAGCACTGGACTAGGAGTCCAAAAACTCGAAACTAAGACTCAGTTTCCTCATCTGTGAAATGAAGATAATACAATTTACTCTGCCTACTTCACAGGGTTATTACATGCATCAAACAAGATCATCCTCTAAAAACTATAAGCTATTAAAAATTAATACAGGGGGGCGCCTGGGTGGCTCAGATGGTTAAGCGTCTGCCTTCGGCTCAGGTCATGATCCCAGGGTCCTGGGATCGAGTCCCGCATCGGGCTCCCTGCTCCTTGGGAGCCTGCTTCTCCCTCTGCTTCTCTCTCTCTCCCTCTCTCTCTCCATCTCTCATGAATAAATAAATAAAATCTTTAAAAAAAATTAATACAGGTAGTACAAAGATGTGATCAAGAGCATAGCACTGGAACCAGACTATGGTATAGTTTTCAAATTGCAGCTCAATTGCTTCTTAGCCATGTGACCTTGAACACGTTACTTAACCTCTTTGAATCTTAGTTTCCTCATGTATAAAATACATGTGTATCTGTGTGCATGTGTGTGTTTATTTAGCATCATCTACATAAGGAGTACTGTGAAGATTAAATGAATTAATTCATGTAAAATGCTTATCATAGTGCCTAGCACAAGGTGAATACTCAATAAAGGTTAGATTATTCATAGTGGTATTCTACATGAGATTTACGCCCCTGTCCTGGGGCACCTGGGTGGCTCAGTCAATAAAGCGTCTGACTTTGGCTCAGGTCATGATCTCAGGGTCCTGGATTGAGCCCCAAATTGGGCTCCACGCTCAGCAGGGAGTCTGCTTCTCTCTTTCCCTCAGCCCCTCTCCCCAGCTTGTGTGCTCTCTCTCTCTCTCTCTCTCAAATTAAAAAAAAAAAAATGCTCTATCTAAAATAGGATGAAACAAAATACCCATTTCTGTCATATCACCCAGATATACACAACCGAGATTGAGAGAAAACTGCTTTAAATCAGACTCATCATGTAATCTCAGTACTATAAGCAACCAATAGCTCAGTACCTCAAAGTTCACTGAACCATTACTATGCATTTGTTCTGACAAAACAGAAACATTGTGATTTTCAGTATACTTGATATGTTGATCAAAATGCAGAATCATGAATAATATGCACATAACCCCTTCTTCAAAAGTTATTGGTAGCTTGTGGAACTGCTGCTACCACAGTCTGAACTCACAATTCTACTGTAAATTAGTTTGTAAATTATCTCATACTTGCAGCTAACAAATACTAACCATTCCCACTGCATCTTGGTCAAAGGGATTCCATTCTACGTTCTCAGGGTATCGGGCAAGGACCTTAGACTTGAATGTTCGTCTCAGTGGTGTCTGCTCAAAATTTTCTCCTGCAAGAAAAAGAATGAAGCAAATCATCTCTACAGAGTCCCTCAACGATTGTCTGAGCTTGGTAGTCCAGCAAGGTACAGAAGTAAAGGCAAAGGGGTTAGTATGCCAACCATCTAAGAACAGGAAAGGTATCGAAGTTATTAGGTAAGTAAAGAAGCTGAAAAGGTTTAGCATGGTTAATAGTGGACATCACTAGCTATCTTTTCTTTTCTTGAAAGTGAGTTATTACTAAAATCCAACGGTTAATCTTCTTGGGAGAGTGGAGATAGCACAAGGAATGACAAAGGATTATATCCATCTTTTTTTTCCTGTAAACCACATTTAGTTTGCTTAAAGTCAACTGATATCATAGAAGCATAAATGATTTTAAATTCAGAATAAAGTATGCACTTCTATGATCTCTGAAAAAACACGAAGGGACTAAAAGATTCAAGGATATTAAAAAAGCAAATTTCAGGGTAAATCTAATGAGATATTTTGTCAATTCAGAATCATTTGAAATTTCTAAAATTCTACTTTGTTTCCCCTTTCTCCCTAAAAACATTAGAATATACTGAAATAAAGAACATTAAAGTGAAAAGAGGAAGAACCAAAGAACCCACCACCTAGAAAGACACAAATATGAAAAACCTACTGGTCAAAAAAAGGCACAAGAAAGTTAGAAGGTCAAAGGTACAAAATACCACTTTGTAGAGACATGTAAATGCCACCAGAAAGCTATGGGTGTTCTCAATTTTGTTTTGTTTTTACCTTCAGTCGTACTGGAAATGAAAGGGCTGGCACCATCCCTGGCTTTAGAAGCCTGTATGTACTGGCATAATGCTATATGATAAATGAAATAACAGAGTATTACAATAAAGCAATAGTATTCAAACTTTTTTGACCATGACTCCAGTATGAAACAAATGTTGTATCATGAAGCAATAAATATATAAATGATGTGTACATATAAATTTGCCTAAAATAAATTTCACAAAATAATACTTACCCTTACTCTGTGTGATGCCATTTCGTAATTTCTACTCTCTATCATTAAAACCAAACTAAGACTACTAACACAATTCACAGTTTGAAAAAACATTACAATACAGCATAATGACATGAAGAGTTCAACAGATATCAAATTACTATAAAGTCACTGGTACTTTATCCCAAAGTATCCTGCCCCAAATACTGCTTTTCCTAAGGAGTTAGGGAATAGGGGACAATTAAATGTACCTAAATATTTCAAACAAATAAATTTAGTAGGAGTCATGGAAAAATATGTGGAAATCATGATCAAAAACAATTCGAATGAATTTGATATTTATTGAGTAATCATGTCATACAAGGGCCTTAGTTACTGAGGGGATAGAGACAAACAAAAGGAAGCACCTATCCTCAGGACCTTACTCTCAAATGTATAGGAAAAAAGAACATACACAAATAACCCTTTCACAGGAAGGTTACTATCTGGGAGGCTCCAGATCTTTAGTCTATGTGCCAACCATTCAGAGCACACTTGCACAGGATCCTGCTCACATGTTCTAGTTGATAATACAAATTCTGTTCTAACTATAGTTTTTCTGAGTTGGTTTGGAACCCAAAGGAGCTGGTGATTAAGGAAGATGCATTCTTCCAACACAGGACTGGGATAAACCTAAAGTTGCACAGTTCTTCACTCTAAAATCATCCCAGAGGCATCTTAGGTTTCTAGAGTTTACAGTAATTCTAAGGTACCTGTTCCAGAAATTAATAATGATTCCAGTCAGAAAGTTATCATTTATAACTAAAACATTCACTTCCACTTTCTCTCAGGTTTTGTCCATCATCATCATCAGAAGCCCACTTATTCATAATTTTCAACTTCTGACAAGCCTCAACTTTCCTTCTGTTAGTAAAGCTAGTAACACAATTTCAATTCCTCTCATTTCCTGCCTTCTTCGAAACTGAGTTTTCTGAAACTCTTTTCCAGCAAATTTCATCTCTCAAAATACATCTGGTAATCCTCACTAAAGAAGACTGGCAAAATCAGCAGGCAGCTGGTAACAGTGGTAGCAATAAAGCCCCTATGGCTATGTACAGCTAGTCTCAAGCTTTCAATAACACCTGCGAAGAACACACCCATGGCAAGGCTGCACTTACTGTACAAAAAAATTAAACAGCAAGCAGCTGACATAATGATCTTGTCTACAGTCTGAAAGTCTCAGAATATATATTTAAACTGTATTCAGTTCTGAGAAGATAACTATGTCTTCCTCCTAAGCTTCTTCACTTTTAGTTGTCAGTTTGCTCATTTCTTCCTTACTAGGCCAAAAAATCTCCTCACTAAAAACTACAAAATATTTGAACAGAAACAGGAATCAGGGCAGTTTCCACTGTCCTTAATGAAAGCCTTTAGAGAAGGGTATTTTTTTAAGATGGTTATGAAGTGACCAGACCATTTTAAACAACCACTGAGAAAAGGCCAGAGGTGAAAATGATGAACTGACCTGAAGTATAGACAAAGAGGAGGGGGAGATTATAAATCACAAAGAGAAGTGGTCTTTAGATCCTCTATCCTCCACACCACCTCTTCATCTCCTGCCCCTTCTTCAAACAAGCTAAGTAAAGATCTCTTGTTAAGGAGTCAGGTTCTTGTTAAAGAGTCAGTAAAGGCACCATTGAGACTGCCAATCCTAGACATAAGTCCTTCTGTGTATTAGACTGGACCAGTATCGGGAGCATAGTATTTTCACTGCAAGGGGAAAGGGGGTGTATAAAGCGGTAGAGTCCTGAGACCAAATCATGTTCATTACAGCACCTTATATAGAGTATCAGAAAAGTCACAGAGGAAGGTGATTCACAAACCTAAGATATTTTTATTAAAACAATTCAGTCTTGGGCGCCTGGGTGGCTCAGTTGGTTAAGCGACTGCCTTCGGCTCAGGTCATGATCCTGGAGTCCCGGGATCGAGTCCCACATCGGGCTCCCTGCTCAGCAGGGAGTCTGCTTCTCCCTCTGACCCTCTTCCCTCTCGTGCTCTCTATCTCTCATTCTCTCTCTCTCTCAAATAAATAAATAAAATCTTTAAAAAAAAAAAAAACAATTCAGTCTTTCATCATTTACTGAGGGCTAAGTTTTGAGAATAAGCAATAGAGACTTAATGCCTCCAGAACATCTACACAGACCCACCTTATGAAATCTGTACATGTGTCAGATCCTTTAAGTCTCCAATTATTTAGACTTTTGGAAATTCAAACGATATTAGGAATAAGACATTGCAACCACAACTGTCCTACTGTCCTGGAAAAAGTAATTACTTATTCACCTAACACATACAGAGTCCACAAGAGTCAGCAGGTCTGGATACCAGAACTAAGGCCCATTTCTAACAGCAACTTAAAAATTAGTCAACTGGGTGTCAGTCTATCTTTGTGAATCTGTCCCTGAGGAAGTACAATTCAGATAAATCATAATAGATTTTTTTTAAGCCTGCATGCCTTACAAGGACTTCTGACAGGTTCTTTGTTTACTGGCTCTGCTTTGACCAAGCCAGAAACAAAATGACATTTGTACTGCTATTAGCCTATTGGTACTAGCTTGATCTGAATAATCCTAAATAAGGAATGCTTACAACTGAGAAGCTTCAAAGGAACCCCTAAACTCTCTGAAATGATTTACAAAGTTTTGTATGAAAATATGTACATTTTTCTAAAGAGAAAACACAATTTTCATCAGATTCTCAAAGGGTTCCATGATCCAAAAAAGTCAGAAGCCAAAACTCCAAATGTTTCTCCAATTTGGGCAGGAAACATTTCACCACTTAGAGATTAACCTAAATGGGTAGGTTTACATGCAGTCTAAAATAAAATATATGCACTATTAAATAAGTGCTTTCTGGGTTGATGATGACATTATTTTCTCCTTTTTTATCGTAAGAAGCCTGTAGATGCAAACTTCTCTCTCTTTACACATACACACATATGTGAATGAGTTAAAAAAGAAAAAAATCTTATCCTCAAAACTTGTATGTGAAGTCATCTGAAAGGTCATCAGAAAATGTTCACCAAGGGAGCCTAGGTGGCTCAGCTGGTTAAGCATCCAACTCTTGATCATGGTTCAGGTCGTGATCTCAGGGTTATGAGATCCAGTCCCACATCAGGTTCCATGCTCAGTGAGGAGTCTGCTCGAGATTTTCTCTCTCTCCCTCTCCACCCCCCTGCCCATGTGCTCACTCACAATGCTCTCTCTCTCTCTCTCAAAATAAATAAATAAAATTACTAAGCATCCAACTTTTGATTTCAGCTAGGTCATGATCTCAGGGTTGTGAGATCAAGTCCCACACCGGGTTCTGCACTCAGTGGGGAGTCTGCTTGGGATTCTCTCTCCCCTCCCTCCTCCCTCCCCCCCACTCAGGCTCGCTCTTTTTCTCTAAAATAAACAAAATCTTAAAAAAAAGTTCACCAAAATCTCAAAGTTACACACTTATAATAGATGTATTACATCTGTGGGAAACAGTGATAGTTTTAAAATGGTAGTGCAGATAAGAAAACGCATGTTCCAAAGAGCTATGTGAAAAAGATCCAATACAGTCAAATCCCCACCTGGTTTATGTTAAATTACACAAAGCTTCTCCAGAACATAGTGTTAGCTTAGATTAAAGAAAAATAAAAGTAACCATCACTTCCTAGGAAAAGCGTTTATGGGACACATCTGTTATACCTCTATCTTGGATTAGATATACCAAATAAAAGTATTTCAATTTCTAAACCTATCAGTAATCAGAGTTGACATACACTTAAGAAGCTTTACATAAAATTTGAAGTTTGAAAAAAAGAAAAAAGAGCAAGAGCTAAGGGCATTTTTATATCTGGTCTCTTAGAAGAGATGGGAAGGATAATACAAACACCTGTGAAACTACAAATGAAAAAAACTGACTTTATCAACAGAATAATTTCTATCTAGGGCACCAGGGTGGCTCAGTTGGTTAAGCGTCTGCCTTCGGCTCAGGTCATGATCCCAGGATCCTGGGATGGAACCCCACAGCAGGGAGCCCACTTCTCCCTCTCCCTCTGCCTGCTGCTCCCCCCTGCTTGGGCGCTCTGTCTCTCCCTGTCAAATGAATAAATAAAATCAAAGAAGGAGAAAGAAGAATTTATATCTAGCATGATGGTGGTTCTGCTTCCAGTCATGGAAGAGTAGCTCCTATGAGACCAACTCTCTTGCAGATAACTATGAACACTGGACAGAATATAAAAAACTACCTGAAGTACTAGGGAACAAAAAGGCAAAACAAATTATGACAGAAGAGAGAGGGTCAAAACTTGGAAAAAGGTAATGACACCAAGCAAGTGTCTCCTGTTACGGCTTTTGGCCAGCCAGGTCCCAGTCTGTGCCATGAAAGATGGCTAAAATTCAGCTAAAAACCCATAGTCTTACTAGCTTCACAAACCAGAGGACAGACTTTAAGGCAACCACAACAGAGAAGTCAGAGAGGGAAACTCCAAAGAGAACCAAAAGAAGGTGCCTCAAACTCTGTGTATAAATTCTGCCCAAACGGCTGGCTAATCCCTAAACTATGCATGCATGGAACAGACTTCAAGCAACCAAGTTAGGGCTAAAAGTACTGAACTGAGATTTAAACTGCCATTCACTGCACGGGAACAGAGTTTAACAAAACAAACAAAATTCAACGTTCTTTAGAGGAAGGTAAAAAAAAAGAAGAAGAAGAAAAATCCAATGTCTACAACGTATCATACTCAGTATCCAGGACACAACTCAACAGAATTGTTTGGCTTATAAAGAAACAGGAAAACATGATCTATTCTCCAGAGAAGAGTCAATCAACAGAAACTGACCCT